GTTTTTACCCCCCCCTACTGCTACTGGCCCCCCTGTTACCCGCCCTTCTCTCTAGCCGCTACTGCCCGCTCTGAACCGGCTAGGGGAAGGCCCCCGGGGCCGCCTTGCGTCCCCTACCCCGTTGTTGCGGGTAACCGAGCCACCCGCCCCCTCGATACACACACACACACGCACACGCACACACAGTTACCCACCCACCCCGGTGTTATGTTCCCCCTAGCGGCGAACCCCCGGACTGGCTGTCCACGTGTTCGTGTGTCTGTATGTGTGTCTGTGTCTGTGTGTCTGTCTGTATGTGTGTGTCTGTATGTGTGTCTGTGTGTGTCTGTCTGTGTGTGTGTTTCGGGGTGAGGGGCCGCACCACATCGTAGGTGCGCACCCCCATCCCACATCCACCCACTACACTCTACAGCGGCACTCGAACTCCTCCACGTCCCCTCGTCTCCCCTCCCCTCCCCCCCCATCTACCCCCCTACCTACCTACCTGCTCACCCGCCCATGTACCAGACCCTCACACCGGGCCTTATGGGCCACCTTACATCGCACCGGGCCTTATGGGCCACCCACCTCCTTCAGTGTCATCACGTTCTTGTGGCCGTCGAAGCAGCGAAGAAAACCACCATCACCAGCATCACCACCACCACTACTCCCGCTCCCACCACCTCCACCTCCGCCACCACTTCCAACCGCCGGGTCGCGTCCCCCTCCGCCGGCGGGGGGAGGGGTTAGGACGCAACCCACACGCCGGGCTGGAGCGCCGGGAAGGGGGGGAGTCGCGGCACCCGGGGAGGAGGCGACTCGCTCCCCGGGGCTGCCGGCTGGCGGGGCGGCCGGCTGCTCCGGGGTTGCATGAGAGCTGACGGCAGCTGTAGCAGCAGCAGCAGCAGCCATACTTGCAGCCTGGGCAGCAGCTGTAGCATGAGCCTCTCCGCCTCCTGCACGGGCAGCGCTGCAGGCGGGGCGGGGCCGGGGGGGAGGAGGGGGGGGGGGTTGTCCGGATGATGACTCTATATGTGGGTCAGTTAGCGGTTGGCGGTTGGCGGTTAATTGGACGAATTAATGAACCAAATATTGTGTGAGTGATGGTGGGCGGGTGGCTTAAAAGAGATGAGCAGGGGCCGATATGTAGGTAGGTAGGTAGGTAGGTAGGTGGGTAGGTAGGTAGGGTAGTAGGTAGGTGGGTAGGTAGGTAGGTAGGTAGGTGGGTAGGTAGGTAGGGTAGTAGGTAGGTGGGTAGGTAGGTAGGTGGGTAGGTGGGTAGGTGGGTAGGGAGGGA